TCCTGAGTTCCTGGACTTGTTGAGTGGCAAACAAACCTTGGCAGGAGAAGGTCATCGAGGTCTTGTCCAGCTTGAAGCTCGCAGACCAGCGAGCCATCAAGACCCTTGGCTCCCTCTCGAGCTCGAGCTCTCGAGTTATCCCAAAGCCCTTCAGGGTCCCACGAATGCATGTGGATGTGTGTGTGTGTGTTCCAATTGGGGGAGCCCCAACAGTGGGGACAATTTTGTTGCCCAGCGACCCAAGCTGATTTCTTTGCTTTTTGAGTTGGCCAGGGGCGAATGGTTGGGGGGGATGGTAATCCCTCAAGAACCTCCCTCAGCCCCTTCCAGTTAAACACCCCCCCCCCACCTCAGCCAGGCTCCTTCGCCCGCGAGGCGGTGATTTTGGACCATTTTAGTGAGACACCCAACTTGTTTTTGGCCAATCCGAGCCCAAGATGCGGGGACTTTCCTCACCAAATTCCCTCTAAGAACTCCACAAGGAACTAAACACTTTTCCAGCAGAGCTTTGCAAAGGCAACCCACAATCCTTCCTTTAGGTTGCGAAAGGGTCGGTGCCCTTTGTTTTGATTCCTCATCCAGATGGAGGACCAGCCTTGGCCCAGCTTTCAATTCAAGCAGCCAGCTGTTGCTGTTTCTGCTTCTTCCACTGGACGGGGAGCCTGCGGAGCAAAACATGAAGGGGTGGTCTGATTTTCTCAACTGCGCATGTAGACAGGCAACAAATGACGGCAATACATGTTCCATTTTCCAGGCGTTTTAGGAACTCAATGGAACTTGGCTCACGCGGGTCAGTGGCCTTCTCTCATTCTCTCTCTCTCTCTCTCTCTCTCTCTCTTTTTCTCTCTCTCTCTCTCTTTTTCTCTCTCTCTCTCTCTCTCTCTCTCTCTCTCCCTCTCTCTCTGTGCACACGCAGCGCTTTCCGAATTTTGCAGGATCAAACCTTGCAGTCGTGTGGCCACTCGAGGAAAATTGCAATGATGCCGCAGGTGGTGCAAGTTTTGCTTGGGTGCCTTGCATGTCTTGTCGGCCAATGGATGCTCAGCACTACAGGACATGCACGGCTGACACGGGCCCTGGACCACCAGATGCCTCACAGGATGGATTATAAAGGACTCCCAAAAGGACACCAATCGTTGAGTAGAGTTGGGAGAAGTTGTAATACATGCTGAATGTTAAGAGATATATTAACAAAAAGACGGTTCATGGCAAGGTGTCTCTTGACATTCTACTACTGCACCACACGAGAGGGACGCAGCGATCCGAGGATTGACCTTGACACCTACTTCAAGCTCCTTCTCGAGTTCAACAGGCTTGGCAGCTGACATAGGATTTCCCTCCTCCCTATCACCGCCCCTTTTTCCGCGACAAACAAGGGGAAAAAGCTTTTCTCGCGGGGGCGGGTAAGTACCCCTTGACCGGAAAAAAAGTGTTACCCTCCTGTGCACAACCACGGGACCCACCACAGGGTCCCTACAGGAGCACCGTCTTCCAGGACCCTCAGTCGGGGACACATCATGTCAGTGGCATCCTGCTTGGTCCATCGGCCAGGCGTGGCATCCACTTCACCAACATGAATGTGGGCGCTAAGATCGGCGCCCTGGCTTGCAAAAAGCGTCCGGAAGGGGGATTTCGGTTTCGGCCTTCGGTTTGTTGAAATCCCAAGCCAACTTTCACTGAAGAACTTGGTGAGCCAACTGCAAGCATGAAGTTTCCTTGCTGGGACTGTGTTAGGTCTTGGCAAGTCTGGCGGAAGCGGACGGTTGGCTTCCAACCGACGTTGGTGAGATTCAGCTGACGGCAATCCAACAGAAGCGCTTTTTTGTGACGTGTTTGATCGAGTGCCCCTATTCCTTCACTGTGAATTCGTGGCATTCAAATAGCTTGTGAACTGTGGCGAAGACACAGTGGTGATGAAACCGCTGCGATTTTGTCTTTGCCTCAGTCCGGGACTTTTTGCCGTGCTTCAGCGCTTTCAATACCTTTGGGCTACAGAGCTCGTGAGTTTGGGGGATGGCTTTTACCCAAGTCGTCCACACCCAAACCGCGGCAACACAAGTCCCCAATCCCTCCAAGCCCAAGACCCCAAACCCAGGGACATGGTCTGATTAATGTGGGGGTCGGGGCGTGGTCTGATTCCCCGCTAAACCCAAGGACACCCCCCATACCGATAAACAGGCGTTTATTCATATGGGGTCAACATCAAACCCACCAAAACCCAAAGACCCGCCAAGCCTTCTAAGCCCAAGACTCAAATCCGAAGACCGTTGGAGAGGTCCAGCACTGCGCTTTCACCCCCCTCTTCCCGAGCTTTCCGCGCGGAGGCGACTCGGTGGGCCAGCTTCCTGACGCCCTCTTCGACGAGGGCGACGAGGATGCGGACGATGGCATGGAAGACTGAGGGCGCAGACATCTTTGCATCTCTCTTCGGGCTTTTCTTGGCTCAGGAACACAAACCAACAAAGTTTTTGTTTGCTTAGGAGCACAAACCCAACAAACAAGCAAGATCGCAAGCAAACAAGCAAACAGACAAACAAACACTCGATGCAAGCACCCGATATTTCCCCTTTGAAGCTGGGCGCCGGCCCCGTAGGGTCATGACAGGAACCCTTCCCACAAACATGGCATTAGTCCGCAAGTTTTGTGTGGAGCTCACCGATCCGGGGCATAACGAGCGGTCCTTTACTTGGGGATAGCAAAAAATGCAGAAATGAGTCCAGAAGATCAGTGTCCAAGGGTACCTTCCACGGCAACGTGGGAGGGAGGAACTTGACGGCCCTCAGTGGGTTGCTTTCTTTTCACATTTGGAGGGGTGTTCCTTCCAGATGAACTAGCAAAAGCGGAGGGCCCCTGTTTTGCCCGGCCACTGGGGGTCTGGGTTGTGATTTTTGTTGTTTTTTCAGGATACCCCAAACTGGTTCTAATAAATGGCTTCCAGCTCCCGGCAAAGGAGAATTAGGTGATATCATGCGTGTAGCATTCTAGATTAATCCATTTAGAGTCTACCCAGGCTTTAAAGGGAATTCGATATGTTTTGTGGAAGCACCCCCGCCAATCCTGAAGGCTATCCGGGTTCAATATTCCCGGAAGGCAAGGGGGTAGGTGCATGTTCCAGTCTTTTCAGGTCATTATCCTTTTCCTAGGCATTTGGTGAGTAATTTGGATGATATCCCTGGAAAGAACGAAATTACAACATCAGAGTGGTTCAAGCATTTGACACGACCGCGCTCCTTTTTTTTGCCATGTCCGACAAGGGGCTGGTGAGAGGTTTCACCAGTTGTTGTGTTTCACCGGCGGTGTGGGATGGCCTGGCATTTCTACTTGCTGTGCGTGTTTGCTTGCTTTGTACTTCCCAACTCCTACGCTTTGCATATGATCTGGCCTTTTGTCCAAGATCCGACCTGGGTATTTGCTTGTTTGCTTGCTTGCTTGGTTTGTGTTATGTGGTTTGTTTGGTTTGGTTGGTTTAGCGTGGGTTGGTTTTGATTTGACGCAGTTTGGGTCGCAGTTTGGGTCGGGCCAGGTCGGATTGGGTCGTCCGTTTGTCATTTGTTTGTTGGCATTGTGTGTCATGTGCGTCGTGTTATTCGATCAATCAAAAATGATCAGCCAACACAGCTGCTTGCATTCGAGTCTTTCAACCTGATTTTGACGCTTGCACCATGTTGACTCTATTGTTGCGATTCGTTCCAGCCAACGTGGAGTGCCAGGTTCTTGGTTTGTTGGTATGCTGTGTTTTGTTATCGCAGGTAAATTATGTGTTTTGCTGTGGCAATTCAAGCAGCTGCAGGATCACCCAGTGTGTATATATATATATATATTGCTAGCTTCGCTAGCAGGGAGGCCAGTTGGTCACAAGCGCCGCTGCGGCGTGCGCATCGCGGCGCCACGTGGTTCCTGCTGAGGGATGCTGCTTGCAGGGCAGTTGTACTTAAAGGTGTTTTGCTCCACTTCGGGTTCCATGTAAGATGGTGGGAGGTGGATGAAGAGGCAGGGAGAGAGAGATATGTGTCAAAACAGGGGGACCCAAAATGTGAGTGGTTTCCTTGGTTTCCCTTTAACACTCATAGAGCAGTGCTCAGACCGGCAAGGGTGCCTTGTGCGCTTGACGCTTGTGATCCCTCAGCAGACGCCCTCGGATAAGCCCGTCATGCTTCGTCGAAAGGGCCACTGATGGATCCGTGGGAGATGGGAATCCGGGGAAGAGGGGTGCCCCTAAGTGTTAGCTTTTGGGGACTAGTCAAATGGAATTAGAGACCCTCCACCCCTTCTCTTGCTAGCATACTCCATAGCATGAACTGAGCACAGAGACATCCGCTCATATGTGAATCTGTTTCCCCAGGCATCCCCAACCTCGTACAAAAGGAAAGCTGGGGGGTTGTTTGGTCCCACTTTCCTCTTCCTCGGCACGACTGGGCAAAGGAACCTTCACTCCTTTACCCCACCCCCTTCTCCATTGAGGTGGGGGAGAAAGTCTACATGCAGAACGCCTCGAGTGACTTTTTGATCACGTTCATCCCGAATCCATCTAGATCAACTGTGGGGGAGGAAGTAGCTTTTGAAACAGCAATCCGGTTTTTCTCAGACTCTGGAGCATGCTTGCATGAGTCGACCAGTTTATAGATCCCAGGTTCCCTTAGTCCATAAGTTTAGTCCTCCCAAGGAGCTGAGCTTATATTCAGGTCTTCTTGAGTCTTCTGGCTGCAAATGCGCGGCTTCTCGGACCAAGGGGGTGGACTGCGATTGCAGTCAAGGTTCAGTTTTGCTTAGCCGCATGGGCCCGACATCCACTCTTACAAGCCCAAGATAAAAACCGTTCTCAGCCGAAACACAGAAACGCTTCGCGGTGGCAACACACTTTACATCGATCCCGGAGCAGAGAGCCAAACGCAAGATCCCTGAGAGATCTTTGAAACGCCGCGTACGTTTCGCGTTTCGCGAGTCGCGGCAAGTCTTGGCGGTTGAAGGGCCCTGGGCGCGACACGTGCAACTCTTGCGCCATGTGGTCAAGGCGGGGCAAGAGCCGATGCCAGGGTGGACATGTCCAATCCAAGGAGAACCCATGGAAGGCTCAAAGGCATAGACGATTCCTTGCAAGCCCCGCTTCTGTTGCCAAGCGACTTTGATCTTCCAGAACCCCGAATTCCATCGACCTGTAGTTTTAGGTCCCATGCCGGCTTTGAGGTGGGTTTCATTTCAGTAGGGATCCACCCAACACTTGTGGTGATTCCTATTTTCTATCCGTGGCCATATAGCTTAAAATGAAAGCCACCGAAGTGATTTTATTGCGTTTTGAGTTCACGCCAGGGTAGCTATCCCCACCCCGCAATGGAATGGGGCACATAGTCCTAATCGACGCGCAATGGAGGTTGTGTATGGGCGGCACGTGTTTTCCAGTTGTGAATGGGTACCTGAGGACCTTATAATGTGCCGAAAGACCCCCCAAGTGACCCATTTGAAAATATCCAACTAGCTTAGGGGAACATCTCGCAAAACTCGCTCATCCGTGATGAATCAAGGTCCTTTTAGGATTATACTGGGTGCAAATGACTTGGGAGTATGTAAACGACCCCGTCCGTAAAAGTGCTCCCAAGTCACCATGCAATCCCAGAAACCCTTAACGTCCAATGTATATTCTTGAAACTGCGACTAAGTCCTGTGTCACGGTGTCTTCACCGAGAGTTTTGCAGGGTTGCATCATGCTGAAGGAACGCCGAGCGTCGCTCCAACAGGGTCCCATCTCATCTTTCCAGAGATTGCAAGTGTTCGAATCACGCACTCAGGCTGGAAGAATAGCAAGTCCCATGTCATCTGTCTCTAACAGGTTTATCCTTTATTTCCAGTTTGGGAACTACTCGTAGGGCAATCCCTGTTAAATCCACTGGGATGGTCTTAACAGCGCGAGTTCCAAGGTCAGAGGTCTCCTCTTAGGTTCCATGGGCAAGGCGAAGCAAGGCAAAGCAGGGCTGTAATCGAGCATTGGTTAGCTTTAAGCATTTGTTCCATGACCAAAGGTCCATATTGCAGCCGTAGTGCGGTGGCCCTTTGTTGGTTGCTTGGATTGGTCGTTTGGATATGGTCTATTTCGCCCGTTACTAAGCCAACAAGGGATCTCCTCCCAAACTAAGTCATTTAGGCTCTGTTCTGGCATGTGAACACGCGGTTGTGGAGGGCAAGTGGGTGCGGCTCAAAATTAAAGGCCTAGGGGTACGTTGGTTCCACCAGGTGGTGGTTTGGTACATGTTTTCGAGCCACCGGTGGGAAACTCGAATCCAAAACCACCAGGCAGGCGATTTGTTCACCCTACCAGGCCCTACCATCCTTTCAGAAAATATCTCATTCAAGCACATATCTACCCTCCCTCCCACTAACATGGCAACTGAGAGGGGGTCCCTTCAACACATCTTCCAGGTGCCTCCCCAGGTGCCATGTTAGTTTGAGGAAGGGTAGCTCATGTTGGTTGATCCTCATTGGCTTTGTATCCCAAATGGATGGCCAGGGTCCCACCCGGCAGGCGATGGCCATGGGGCGTGCTGCTGCTGCTGCGTTGCCTGGCGGAAGAGGCGGAGTTTGTGGAGGAGGAGGGCGTGCTGGTGCTCACAGAGCGCCGCGGCGTTCGGCTGACCCCACGTTGAGCAACCCCAGGTTAATAGGGGGTGTGCCTTTTCAAAAAGCTGAAATGTGCTTTTGGAATCAGACCACTTTGGGAGGGACCCCCATATAATCTGGGGTCGACATTAGCTTCGACCCTGGGGAGGCGTCGGAGAGCACCCGGGACCCAACCACTCTGCTTCTGGATACTTGGGGCTTTGGACCTGGGACACGGCAGCTGCTCAGTGCTGGAAAAGCATTTTTTTTTCCATGACCGCTGGGCTTTCTGTCAAAGTTCTCGATTTTGCGGGGTTCCATGTTGCCAGTTGGGAGGGGCTGGGGGTGTCTCAAATTCGGGAAACCAAAAAGGAACAAAACATGGCGTAACCTCAGGTCGCCGTGAGCCATGTTCGCTGAGATTGTTGTTGATGTTTGAGAACGACTCGGATTTTGGGTTCATAATCGAAAGTTACTCATCTTTCACCCAAGCTCAAAGGAAACCACAGGCCCGGGATAATTTTCCAAGGCCTAATGTTGACCCCATATCAATAAACCCTGATTTCTTAATCTGGGGTGTCGAATCAGGCCACTGTTGCAAGGGAACACCCCCCATAATTAATCAGCTGGGGTTGATTGACTGATATGGGGTCAACAGTATGGAGCAACACAACTTGAACCCCCAAACCTGGCTTACATGTTCAGAGGTGTCCTGTTGATGATTTGGTTTGGATTGGTTTTGTGCATCCATTTACAGTACCAGGGCTATCTATTTTACCAAAAGGACACCTATGTGCCTGGGTGAGTTGCCCAGCTTTGTTTGCCTTTCCTGGCAGGCCAAGTTTCGTCAGTTTTTTCTTGGCCGGACCTTTTCCGACTGAGGAAGAACTTTGAGGTGGCCATCAAGAGCCACCCCTACATCTTGGTCCAGTTTTTTGCACCATGGTGCGGCCACTGCAAGCAGCGCTTTGGCTGAAAGGGCGAAATCGGAGGAGTGAAGGAGAATTCAGCCCCGTCTTTTTGCGGGACCGCACCTGCAGGATTCGGGGATCTAAGCTGAGGATGTTTTGGAGCAATTCAGGGCGTGTTTAGTGGCTTTCTAAGCTGTAAAGCACGTTTGGTTGGCGTCCGTTTCTCACGTTTTGGCTACGGGGGTTTCAAAAACAGGCTGTCGGACAAGAAGCATCCCCAAAGGTTGCCCACAAATGATGGTAGGGAAGGGAATGGCACCTTTCAAAATCAGGGGGGAAAGGTTCATTCCCGAATTGCCCGCTGGGAACCAGCAAGAGTTTCCTTGTACCTAAGTGTGTTCCCTTGCAGGTTCGCGCCGGAGTACGCGAAGGCCGCTCAGCAGCTGAAGCAGACGAACCAGCCCATTCGCCTGGCCAAGGCGGAACTTATGGATTGTCAGTCCCTCAATTTCCAATTTCTTGCTGGTGCTCAGTAGGGAAAGAACCGGAAGGGGATTCCCTTAAAGGAAGCCATGGGAAATGCTTTTGATGGTGTCATTCCATGTCTCATTCCCTCATTCCCTGTGGACCTCAAAAAAGTGAGCCACCAGCAATTGGTCAACTTCGGGGGGCCCCCGTCTTAGAGCGCATCTCACTCCTGCAGGGTGTTGAGCTTCTTGCATTTGGGTCATTTGCGAGGTCCCGGGAATCCACCAAAAGGGTCCAGAAACGCAAAGCCAAAGACCACCCTGATGGAAACATTTGCTAGTTGGCTTTGTTTGTTCTGGTTTCCGAAAACCCTAAGCAACTCAAAGCCTAGCCCGAATGGTTTGGTCCCCTCAGTTTTCAATGAGGGCGGGGGGCCTTGGAAGAAAGAGTCCCAAAAAAGTGCCCCCTAAGGAGAAACTGTGGGGTTCCACAAGTCTTGGGTCATCTTGGGTCTCAAAACCCTTGCCTTTCGACAAGCGAACCCTGGAAAGACTGCGGCCTGAGAGAAGTTGATGTCCCAGGGATGTGGGGGAAATGCAACAAGCAGTAGCCACAGGTGATAATTTCTGTGCACTGCTTTCAGCAAAGCAAAGTGGCCAACCGGCGTTGCTTGTCCGTCCGACTTGCTTTTGGCCTCCATTTAAACAAGTCAAAACGGGGGTTTGCTGGGTTTGGCCAAACACAAAGTCTGTTAGGCCCTCTGTACAAGTCAGCATATCGCAGGGTTTTCCTCAACGGGTGCGGTGTTGACTATAGATTTGCCCTTTGACATTCAGAGCCAAGGGCAGCCATACGAAGAAGATCATTCGCTTCTTCCTCGGGGGTCGGAAAGCACAATAGTGCCTGCCTGCCCTTTCCAATTATAGCTTTAGAGCACCCATGTATGAAACCCTGACATGTACAGTGTAATTACCCCGTATGACCCCCTGCATCGTCATGGGAGACCAGGCTCCAAAGGACGTATGCAACCAGCCTTTGAAATACAGAAAGACGGCGGAAACACTCAGTTAGCCAACCAAGGGTCCTCAGAGATTGAAAACGTGGGGGTAGAAATTGAGCCCAGAAAAGGACGCCAGCCCATGCCCACCCCCTTCAAAATGGGATTGGGGGAGCCTGGAGATTTGTTCCAACTTCACTTTGGGGAAGGCTAGGGACCCCCCTTCTCCTTTAGAGGAGCTGCCAGCCCTACATCCCCAAACGCAAGAGGCTTCCAGCCAGCCTCCAAGTGAAATTGTAGCCCTTGTTTGGAAGAGCCTCTACATGTACCATGTGATTTGTAGGCGTATCCTTTACAACCCCTTGCCCAACACTGGCGCGCCGCCGAACAATAAATTCGGGCGACTCCACACGCGGTTTTGGAGTTCAGGTGGATGCCACTGCAGAGGTGAAGCTGGCCGAGGATCACGGCGTAAGAGGCAGGGTTCAGTTCCTGTTTGGAGGCCTCTTTCGTAGAAACAGCTTGGTGGCCAATTTAGGTTAGTTTGAAGATAGATGGGTTGCACTGGTTGCAGGCTGGTCCGTTTTCTTTTACCAGTACAATCTAAAGGACACCTATTCTGAGCTGGCAAAAAGGGTTCCAAGCATGTACAAAACAGCCAACAGAAGGCAACCACAAAGGGGTTGTTGTTTTTGTTCCCCATTCTTTTGGGTTGTTGTTTATCTTTGTTTTGCAGAGAGTCCCTAGCTACTTGACACACAGCAATGTTTCACATATTTGTTGGGAATGCCATTCCCTGATCATATGATACACCCCCCAGTCACTAATCAGAGGATTCCCTTAAAAGAAAGCCAGCTAGAAACAGACCTAAGCAATAAGTGGGGGGGGGGGGTTACTGAGGGGTCGACATGAGTTGTATCCCATGCAAAGATTCCTGGCCATTGAACTCACAATGCAAATTGTGTTTTAGAGTTCCCATTTGGTTTGGTTTCTCATTACTTTCCGTTTTTTGTTTCTCATTACCTTATATTACTTGCTGGTGCTCAGTAGGGAATGAGGGAATGAACCTGGGGGTTCCTCTAAAGGGAACCATAGGGGATGGTTTACAGGGGTCATTCCGTTTCTACTTCCCTGCCTACCGCACCAGCAAGATTAGGCAAAAAACCACCGGGAACGCGGCGGAGCCTGAGGGAAGCCAAGCCAACTGTACAAGACCTTGATGTCAGGTTCTGCCATTTGGACCCTTGAGTTGGAATTTTTATCCCCAGAGCAAATTGTTGGTCCTACTAGAAGGGGCGATCGATGCAGGCTACGTCAGGTAAGTGGCAAGTAGGCCTGGTAACAACCCACTTAGGAGACTTATAACCATAGCAAGTGGGTTGCTACAACCAGGCTTGCGGACCACTTCCTTAGTACAATGCCCCTTTAAGCAGTCGGGCAGTCGCAGGACAATCCACAAGATATCGCTTAGCATGGTCAGCAGTCTGCCACACCCTTCCTCAAACTTGCCTTTGTAAGATGCGAGCAGAATAGTGTTCGCAGCCTGAATATGTTTGAAATTATGTGTGTGTATGTATTTTTGAAGGGTACCGTTTTGAGGCGGGTTTAAAGGGAAGCCAAAAGAACAACACTATGTCAAGAGTCCCTTCACGTATATTGAGACACATTGAGACACGCTCAATTTAGGTGGGGTGTGTATAAGCCGAGGCTATCCCACGATCCGGCTTTTCATCGACGGCCGGGACCAGGCAAGTGCCAGCTCGGGGCGTTCGATTTGGTGATGGCCCAGCATTCCCCACCCGTGTTAGATTTGACGTGACATTTTGACGCATGATAGCTGCAGAGCCTATTTGGACAGTTCTGGGACAGACAGGAACTGGCAGCTGCTTGAGGCTCCTGCCAGTGGGGTGGATCAGGATACCTGACAGGCAGCGCCTGGATCTTGGGATGTTTCCCTGGAAAGAGCTTGGCTCCTAGGCAAAGGAATCCCTATGAAACAGGAAACGTGGTTGCGGTAATAGCTGAGGAGGCTGCCATTGATGAGGGGTCAGCGCCGCCTTGCTTCCATTTTGACTTGACAGAGTTTGTTCGCTGTCGCATTTGCCAGCAGCATGCTTGAGGAACCGCACGCGGTCGAATCGGCCTTTTGGTGCTTGCGTGGTTGCTGCGCTTTTGGCCAAGCAAACTGTATGTTGCTTTTGCCTGGGGGAGATAGGCAATGCTTTTGTTTGTCGACTCCTCCACAGGACACCCAGATTGCTTTTCTTCGCGAACCATCCTCCCCAGATGAAGGAAACAAAAAACACGTTGAGCCCGTTTTGAAATGGTTCAACAGGCAAGCAACCATGCAGGTCTCGATCAGGGCAGGCCGCAGCAAATAACCACATTGCTCCGGAGTGAGCTACGATCGGTTCGCCAATATTGAAAGTAGATCAAGCAAATGCTCCCCCACCAGCGAAAGTCCAGGCACTACCAACAAGGTTCAACGGGGCTTCCACAAGCTGCTGCATTGCGAAGTCTTGTGCATCATTCCTGATCAGTGGCCAGTGGGTGAACCAGTGCCCACGTCCAAGATCCAAGTATTCAAGCAGTCACCTGCGGCGGCCGCACCGCTGACAGAGCTGTTGTCAAGCAGGATTATCATTTTGCCGTTCCCGGTTTTTGAAAGGCCACATTTGGTCTTGTGGAATCGCTGCCGGAAAGGCCATCGTGAACACATACAGTAGGGCGTTGCCTAGGCTCCATACATAACTTGACTTACAATTATTTCCGAGTTTGTTTCCGGCTTGTTGTTTGGTCTCGCGGGTAACCGGGCAACCCCTCCCAAATGTTTGGTGTCACTCTTTTTTTGGGATACCGCCTGGGCTTGGTTTTGGTAAAACGTGGTTGCCACTGGGCGGATCATGCCTGACATGGCCCCAAAAGACTGCCATTGCATGTTACTGAACGACCATAGGGCAGCTTTAGCTGTAATTATTCAACGGCCACGCAATTACATATGCCTGTTGATTTGCAGGGCCTTGGCGTGAAGACCATCCTAACACGGACGCCCCATTTCGCCATATTCGGCTGCTCAGGAGTACACAGGAGGACGGACAGAGCAGAGCCGGCGCCCTAGAGAAATGTGTCTGCTGGACTTCAAGTGGGAGTTTCATTTGGAACTGACCGGAACCCAACAAATCCGGGGCACATTTTTTGGGCAATCTAGGGCCTAGGGTCCTACGTCACTTTTCAACCCTGAACTGGCTGACCTTGAGTGAGCAAGTGAGCAGTGATTTGCCATGTTGCCTCAGCTTCATTAGTTGGAAGACAAATTTCTTTTAAAAGAGACATGTCAGGTGCTATGTTAGTATAGGTGAAGTCAGGGTTTTTCCGAGCCTTTAAAGCAAGACAATTATCGACGCGCCGTTTCCTTTCCTAGCCCATGTTCTACCATTTTATTGTCATGGAGTCTTGGGAGTAAGGTCTGAAGACGTCAGATTGGAAGCCTGAAGGTCCATCCTTCCTGCGGCCACCACTTTGCCGCTGGGATCCACTGCGCCACTCGCGGCTCGCTCGCATCCGGATGCGAGGCATCGTCACCTGGGTGCTGAAGAAGGCGGGGCCGCCCGCGCTGGAGCTGGAGACCGTGGAGGCCGCGGAGGCCTTCGAGAAGGAGAACAGGCGGACGTCGGTCTCGACGTCGATTGATTTCCGCTTCAAAGGAGGACCTTTCGGCATGGCTTCCGCATGGGATCAGGAAACCTCAGGACTGATTCAGGTTTAGCTATTGCGAACTCCCCTTCCCTCTCCTTGAAAGTAGCGATGCGAGTCTGGCCAAGCCTCTTTGACCATTGTGCCTTGGGGCTTTGGGGGGTTGAACCTTTGGAGGCCGGAGGGTTTACAAAGAGGGTAAAAGGTTGTGAAGCTCCGGTTGGTCCATGCGCATGCGTGACCTCAAGGCTCTGAAGCATGGCAGCTTCTTAGTTGTTTGGTTCTGTTCATGTTTCGCTTTGGGGGCACCCAGCCAGCTTCAGCCGTGTCAGGCTGGCGGTCTTCTGCTTCTGCGACCCCGCGGCCCGCGCGGCCTTTGAGCAGGCAGCGCGCCAGATTGAGGACAGATGGCCGAAGTTGCCGAAGGCTCGGGTTTGTCTACTGTGGATGGACGAATTCCTGCACCACTTTGAAATTATGGGAAACCATTGTTTGTTGGCATTTTCAGGCGAATCATTCTTCCAGGCTTTCTCAGGTGGTGCAGGATTTCGTCCATCCACAGTAGGTCTCCCAGCTAGGTGCCATTTCTCACCCCTTTTTTGGTTGGGAGGGTTCCCCACACTAAGATAGACGAACAGAGAGAAAAGTGGGTACACTTATTTTCTAACCTCTCTACTAGAGGACCTAGTTGTAGTACGCCAAAACAAAAAACAACAGCTGGCTTGCGGTTTGGAGGGAGCCGGGACTAGGAGCTATATCCGGAAATGTGCGTTTTGAGGAGCGAGCCGCTACGCTTCCATTTGCTTAGGAATATGGTGTTATTTGTTTATTTCCCCCTTTTGGTTTTAGAGGGTATCTATCACTACTGGAAATATTTGTATTTTTTCCAGGGGGGTCAAGCAAATGGAGGTAAGGAGCTACCAGGAGTTCTGTAAGGACATGGTAAACAGAGTCCCACGGCTGCGTTCGGGCCAGAAGAAGCACCCAAACACCGGCGATGAGGATATCATACTTGTTCTGTACATTGATTGATTGCGTTGCCTCAACCACAAGAAGTACCCGTATTTGCTCAACATGCTGTTGGAAAGGTACGGTTTTATGCTGGTCACATATCCAAATGACTGAACAAATGGCCCTGCGGGCACGGCCGAATATGGGGTCTGACCAAACAGACATGGCGTCCCAGTTGCCAGGATGCCAGTGACACAGGGCATGGCAACTGGCCGCACGGCGCACGTGATGTCGAGGGTCGCCCCGAAAGTAAACAACATAATTAACCAATCCACAACAAAGTAATGTTGACCCCACATGAATAACAGGTCTTATCAATAGGGGATGTTCCGCTCCAAAAGTGATGAATTTTCACTAAGAAGGAGACACCGCCCCCTTATCAATCAAGGGGTTATTCATCCGGGGTTCCCGTTTCATTCGAAGTGAGTCCTTGTTGATGTTTGCTTTTTCTAGGGGCCAAGCCCGTGTACCAGGGGACATCAGGGGACAGGGGTCTGTGAAGCGGCACTGAACGGGGTCAACATTGCCAACGCTGCTTCGAGCTTTTATTTGATCAATATGACTGGCCAAGAGCAGTCTGCTTTTGCGACCTCAGACCTCACTTATTTGTTTTCTTCGACGGCGGTCGTCCTTGACGCTTGGAAACTTGTAAACACGACAAACAACAGGGGCACTATGGCAGGATATGTTTTTGAACTGGTGAAACTCTGCTAAAAACAAAGGGACCCGTCTCACTGAACCGCTGGCTTACCTTTGGGCCTCAAGCGCCCGGGCGTAACCCGCCCCGTGGGCGCCCGCGCGGGCGCCATGGAGAGCCTTCTGAAGACAGTGCAGGACGGTTTTTGTTTCGTCGGGTTGGCCAGGGTCCGGCAGGAACGAATTGCAACCATGCACCTGCTGAAACGGGGATCCTCGAAGGTTAGATTGGTTGGCCCATGTTGTTTTTCCTCTGACGGGTCTTCTTAGAACTCATAGTCTTCAATATGGGTGTTTCTCAAAATCATGACGAAGCATGTCTTGTGTCCTGTTCGTGCGTTGGGCACTTGTGGGCACAAGTTGCAAAGGGGGGAGCATTTGAATTGGCTGCTCCGCTCCTTTTTCATAGAAGCTCTCCCTGTGCCCACATTCCAAAAGATGACGGTCAAGCACAATATCAGCAACACTCCAGGAAGCATACAATCATATATGTATAGTTGCAGATGGAGCGGAAGGAACCACTCCTTCGCCCCCCCTCCCCCACCCACTTGAAATCTTCCAGGCATTGCAGTACAGGGTGAGGGGTTTAATCCTCATTTACTGTTTAAAACTGGTTTGGATTCCCAAGAGCTGAACGGGCACAATGGCTTTTCATGATAGCAGCTCTCTGAGGCAAGCATGGCAGCAGTAGCATTGGCAGTGGCTCTCCTTGTACCTTCCGTTTGGATCGACGACCGCCCATTTTTCCCACTTGGCTTTAGAGGGGCATCGCAACTCCTGTCCTACAATCGATCTGAACATTCTATACATCGATTCCAAAAACCCTCTGTAAAACGCGTTCATCCTGGTGAGAAGGGTTGCCATGAAACCGCCAGATGGTTCTTTAACAAGCACACTGCAGCAGAAATGGGTCCCTGGAACCTGTGCTTGCGAGCATCCTGATAATCACAGGTCTTCATAGCCCTGTCCAGTGGTACCAACTTGTGGCACTTCCCGCTCTGGACTTTCTGCTTTTTCTGGAACGCACATTTCAGTGGCAGGCCAGCAGCTCGGGCCTCCTCTCGTTTTGGCAACCCACTCAAGAGCTGACTTGTTCCGAGGTTGCTACCCAAAAAAAGATCAAGCCTCAGGGGGTTCCTTTCTTCCGCCAGAGTCACTGGTTGCAACAAGGCCGAGCCTGACAGCGTATTTCCTCGCACTAAGCAAGGCAGAAGGCAGTGTCCAACAAAGCGGCTACAGGATGGGTGTTGTTTTTGCTGATTGCTGGTGTTGCTTGTTGCTAGAAACCCGATCACAGGTAGCTAACTTGCTGTAGAAATTCATGTGGCTGGTTTCCATAAAAGTAGTTTTGGTCCAGCCGTAGCTTTTTGTCAGCCAGCACTTATGTGATGCCTCAGTTGCCCGGGGCGTGGCGACCTTTTGACCTTTTGCTTTTCCATTTAGGTCTATGTTGAAAAACCCCAAAACGTCAAGCTGTGAACGCTAGGTCGCAAGGTCGCAGGCAAGATGTATATAAACCCAGGGATACGGCGGATGCCCTAAATATTGCCAGTACATCGACAACAAACCATGGGAATGTACAGGCTTCCCTTGTTCCCTTGCAACTGTATCGCTCGTTTTGTGTGGCAAAACCCCCAGGGACGGCTGATTTTGAAAAGATGGATGGCTCAGAATGGGCATCCAAACCCGAGAGTGTTTTGGAAACACTGCTTGGTTCCCCCGAAGCGGTTTTGGGCCATTGGGGAAGGCAAAATAAGGACCAGACCCGGGACATGCTTGGTGTGCAAAATATCCTGTCATCAGATTCCATCCCAACAAGACCTCATGGCTCTTCGGGAAACCCCCCCTGTCCAAAGATCTACCTGTTTTACAGCCAGCTCGCCGATTCGAGCGAAGGGGTACAACGAGCGGCCATGACAACGGTCCTTGACCTTGCGGATCCGATTCTGAATTCAGCGACTTGGAATTACTTGGGAATCCCTTACCCTCCCACCAGCTAACATGGGTTTGTGCACAGACCCTTGTAGAAAGACTACAGACTCCTCTTGGTTAGTTGGCCTTCTTGCACTTCCATGTTGGTTGGGAGGGTAATTCAGCTCTTGGCGGTGTCCCAAGGCCCAAAGAGGGTAGCCTCAAACAAAATAGCCTTGGAACCCAGAAGGCCACCATTAGAGGAAACTCCTTTTGGGGATCGCAGGTAATTCAGCTTTTGGCAGGGCAACGGTTCGGTTCGGTTCGGTTACCTTCATGGTTCGGTTATGTGCCGGTTCGGTTACCACGGTTCCCGGTTAGGTTCCTAACCACCCTGTCTTGGATTTATGGCCGCTCAAAGAGGAGCAGCAGCTGGATCTGCTGAACCTTTTGCGCCAGCAGCAATCTCAGCTCGAGGCGAATGCGACCGGGTTGGAGGGCGGGTGTTTCCTTTTGGTCTTATTTTTTTCCAACGAGGCAACGGGCTTAACATGGGTTACGAGAGTTGTAGGGTCTTAACATGGGTTACAACTACTCATCTCACCCTTTTGAATCATAAATTATGGTGGCGGCGGTGATGATTTCAATGCGCTGACAGCAGGCAGTGGCCAACTGCGTTGCAATGTCTCATAGCGCCCCATCATTGCAGACTAGTTATAGTTGCTATTTACATCGCCAGCACTTACTTCCGCCTCAAGAACCCACCAAAAGTCACCATTTGCCGGCAGGCGCACTTTGCATTAGTTGCATCAACATGGACAGGCAGTGCGATGGATCCCCCTCTGCTCCTTGCTTACCATTTTTGCACCGCTTAAGTGGGCCGTACAAGCTGCCAGCAGGCAGTTCGCGTATGCATGCGTCCGTGCACCCTCGTAGCCCTCTTAGTGGCGCCCTTGTCCCTTTTGTTCGGCGCATTGCCCGCTAACAGATGTCAATCCCCCTACAAGGTTATGCGTCAAAACATAGGGGATCCCAGTGTGGTGGTTGCCTTTCGGCTTGCGACCCAACCCTGAAAAAGGTACCCTCAAATGAAACAGAAACAGCGGTGCGTGGTATTTTTTCACTTTATGCTTTGTTCGCCTCCCTCGCAACTTGCATGGCGCTAAACGGCCTCTAGCAAGAAGCAAGCAATTGAGCGAACCAACTAGGTTCCCTTAGGTTACGTGACGTGCCCCCAGTGCACCCTTTCTGAAATCCTTACAGTATCTAGCCGGTGGTTGGAAGGGAGCCAATGCGCCAGGGGTATTATATGTAAATTTCCAATTAGAGAGGGAGCCAAGGAGCTAAGGAGTTCTGTAAGGACATGGGTAGTTATCACACGACAAAAGGGGGGGTGATGCCTCAACGCAAAGGCAGGGAACCCCCTGAACGTATTTCTTCTGGGCAGCGGGGCTGAATTTGTGGGAAACGAGGCTTCCAGACCTAGGCGCGACTGGCCGCATTGCTATTGGACCGGCCCTCTATAATCCTTTCAAGCTGCCTTCAAGGCGTCTTAGGTAGGGAACCCAAAATCCAAGATCCTTTCTTGGGGTCTTCCCATTTCTACCAAGACCCCGCGGGGTTCAAATTTTGGGATCCCCGGTTTTTCGGGGGTTCCGAAAAGGGATCGAGGAGCCGGTTCCTTGGCTCGCTGGTTTCGACCCCCATCGGCCCACAGAGTTGGCAGGTCGCTGTGAAGGCTGCATTTCAGGACCGGCACTGCCACCCAGCCAGTGAGTCATTCC